TTATCGCGGTAGAAAGCAGTGCGCGGTTGAATACCAACTATGATTTTTTATATTTCAGAGTAGAATAATGCCTATGTACAATATGTAGGTATTATTCCAGAAGTAAACAAAAGGTAAGAAGAGATGACAGAAGAACAGTACTGCAAACTGCAATACAACGTGGTGATGCGTTTATTCATTAGTGTTTAGCTGATTATCCTACCGAAACTAACTATTTTACTTTAGTTATCCATATTTGTAATTTTCTGTAAATGATTCAATCAGATTTCTGTCTTACTTTTTCATTGGAGAACAATAAAAAAACATGTCTTTTGAACATATGAACAGTCACCTACACAATAGCTTGATGTAAACGATATTATATTAAAGACATATACGCATTAATAATAATAAACGTAAAAACATTATGAAATCGTTTTTAAAGTTAAAACATTAATGTTTCATTTTAATCAAATTATTATTAAGCGTGAGATATGTGGTGTTGTTTATTTCATAACCAATGGAATATATTACGCTTTTTTCCGAATTATTTTAATACCATTTTCTCAAGTCCAGACTTTGCAGTTTCACCGGATGAAAGAGTATTTCGCGACATTATTATTTTCATATTGTGGCGGTGACTGTACTCTAGGTCGTAAATGATTGAAGTAAACACTTCATAATATAAACAGTTCACTACTACAAAGCATATTTTGACAATAAAATTCAACACAAAACATCTGTCACAAAGATTATTTATATAATTAACAAGGTTTGGCTTAATTAGGTTGTGCGTTGTTATTCAGTAAAGTAGAAATAAACACGACGATAAGTCTTGATACTTTATGGACTACAATAATATTTTGATGTTTTCAGTGCATTTGTTATGACATAAAATGGTTTAAATGACAATTAGCATATATAGCAACGCCCCATTAGACGTCTCAAATACATATATTGCAAGGATTCAATTTATTGGAGTGGCTGAATATCGTTCCGCGTTTGTTTATTCATTTACCTATTCAGTACTTTTAAATAGTGAGCCTAGTGGACATTCATTCCCCACTACTCCTCCACTGAATTGCGAATGTACATAATTGCAATCGCTTGATCAATACGATTCTAAAACACGTTGAAGTTTGCATTACTTAATGGCGAATATAGCATAACTAGCGAATTTTATAGTACTCAACATATAATTGGTCGTGTCTAGTTATTGTTTGTCTGTGTTTGTTTGAGAGAATTTAGACAAAAGAGAGAGAGAGAGAGAGAGTGAGAGAGTTTAGACAAAACTTTAAGTTGTGTAGTACGATAATATAAAGACAATGATGGAAGATCTACCGGCAAAGCGGGAATCTTAAATAATGATTCGTTAAAGTAAGGTATTGTCCTAAGGTAAACATCACCCATAAAGAGTTGTCATCAATTGTTACTATATTATAGAGACGTTCCTTTTATGAAATGTCCAATAAATTCTATATATGCTCCAAGAATTCTAATGACACATTGTAAAATAATTTTAATAAAAAACGTTATCAGCTTGTCACTAGTTTATTCTTTGCGAATTGTCAATTAAACCATACACTTATTGATAAAAATAATAAAAACAAAACGAGCGACTGAAGAAAACATTAAACGTCATTACATAAAATTCATTGGAAAAACAATAACTATCCAATTGAATACAAAACTAACAACGAAATCAAAACTTTAGTGTTAAGGTTTTCTTACCAAAATATTTATTTAAAAGACTATTACATTCACGGAAAGACTAAAATATATAATCCGCAGATGACAATTAAAATTCTCAGTAAAATAAATAACATTGGAATTTTCTCTTATCAATCTACGAAACAAGAGCTTCAAGCCCACGATAAATATATATGTATACTTATTCATAATTATAAGTAAAACATCTTTAAATTCAAATCATGGAAAAATTGGCACATTTTCAATACAAACCTAGTACGATGTGGATAATGCTATGCACTGTCGTATAAAGTAGGTAACACATAATGTATAGATTTATTTATTTCAGAAAAATATAAGCTACAATTATAATAATATTATTATAAATACAATTTTTAAGCTATTAACATATTGGAATAAACTACAAACATTATTTAACACCAATACATTATGGACATCAAAATTTCTTGTAAAGTAATCATTTATAATGATATTTTGGAAGAATTACATAGCACTAAAATAAATAATTACAACATAGTCACGTCCAGTCTGCTAAGACAACGTGGAACTGTGACTGACTACTCCATAAATAAATTAATTGAATATTGTACGCATCTAATAGCTTCTTAGCTCAAAAAACCACATATAACCTCCAAATTAATTAATATAGACTACACTAACTAGGTAATTACGCCTCCGTGTTACCTGTTCCACAATAGCACTTACGAGTATGTGGTCTCATTATTTCATGCTACTCGTAATACGTACGGTTCGAAATAAACATTACTTCATAAGTTTAATACCCATTGCCGAACAGATATTACTTACTTAAGGCTTCATCGCACGGTACACTTGCGATGATTAAACTTACTCCACACTGAAGCTTGCACAAAGGCTAACAGCGTCATTGACGAAAGCAGGCGTCAGTGTGAGATATCGGATAGGTACTATTCACTAAACGATGACCCTGTCAGTCGTGGACTGCGACCGAGGCGCCTGCGGCCGGCCCCGGGATCAATTTCTATCTACGAAATTTAGAATTACGCTCTACGCACGTAGTTATCCTAGGCACCACCTATGCCTATCTAAAGTCGCCGAATCGACGGCGCTACACTATAAGTAGAAGTAGTAATAAACTTACACGACCTTTAGAAAATTTGGCAGTTACGAGTAGGTGAACGAGCGAAGACTAGGGGTCGGTGACGATACACGGGTGACGAATTCGACGTCACCAGAGTAGGGGCGGGTCCGCTAAACTATAACTACATAGGACCCCGTCGTAAGTCTAAAAGTGACACGAGCGTCCGAGCGAACGTCAGGTGGAGCGAGAGATCGCGGACGCGGAGCGGTCGGCGGCGCGCGGTGGTGACGAGCGCGCGCGGCGGCGGTCGCGGCGGCCGCGGCGGGGGGAAGGCACGAGGGGGGGCGCGGCGGCGGCTGCGGCGCGGCGCGCGGGCCGGCGCCGCCCTCCGCAGTCAGAGCGGGAAGCAGCGCGCCGCCCGCCGTGGCGGCTCGCTCGCGCCACGACGCCGTCGCGCCGTCGCCGCCGATCGTACGCTGCTCGCATCGCCTTCGCTGCCGCCGCTCCGGCCCGCGCCACCGCACAGTCGTTCCGGTTCGATCGGCTCCAACTTGTGCATAGACGGCCGGCTCGACAACCTGGCTCCGTCGCCCACCGGAGTCGATAGCGCTCTCTCCGATAACGCGTCGTCGTCGAGATCGATGCGCCCGAGTCGCAGTGCCAGCACGTACTCAGACCGCTCTATGACACTCGGAATCTCTTCCTCAACGACGGTCGTGTCGGCCATGGTGGAATCGGCCGCTGCTGATTCGGCTCGGGGAGAATCTCCCTGCATCGTAGTCGAATGTCGAGTGTCGATCGACGACGGTGAAGACGCTTCGGGAGGACGCCGTTCCGGTGTCGTGAATACAGAGTCGGATGCCCAGCTGCGAGATTCAGAATTTTGACGCAGCGTGTCGTCCATGCTTCGCTGAGAAGTACGCCGACTCGCGTGAGGACTCTCGTCGTCTATAGGGCGGAAGTCGAGAGCAGTCAAATCGAAAGGCCCACCACGACGTCTAGAACTCTCTCGCCTAAATGAAGGCCTGTGTGATGAGAACGCTGCGTCATAAAGCTCACAGAGACTAGTTCGATCCGAGTGTGGTTCCTCGTAGAGTGTCAGATTACGGGTCTCGGTTGCGTCAGAGGGTGTTTCATCACGATTACTGGTTACTTCGCTATGTTCTGAAATATCGAAGGTAAAGCGTGCCTCGAATCTATCAGGACTGAGTAGTGGCGCAGACCGAGAACAATCATTAGGATGGTTTCCGTCAGAATCGAGTGGTATCGGACGTGGAGCTGAACGGCGAGGGGAAATCTCTTCTGAGTCGGTGGAACGATCAGATCGAGGAATTTGACATGCATGACGACGCGTTAGTGCCGGTTGAGAGCCACACGGTGCGCGACGACAACAGCCTCGCTCGTGACGTACGTCTGATCCACTACTGCCAGTAGATTTTGAGTGTGGCGGACGCCGACGTCGGCAGTCTTCACGACCGTACAGGGATGTGAATTCTTCTGAACAGAATTTTTCGAATAATTCTTGTGAGCTGAGTCGCGTTGAGCCTGTAGCGTTGTAGAATGCCTCTGTCGGCGAACGATCGGTTCGCTCGTAAAGTGCACTTGAACTAGCCCTCTTAGATTTATCCATGAGTCCAAATTTGTATATCCTCGGCAGGCGGCGTTCAAAAACTCCTTGGGAGTGTGCTCGGGCGGGGCCGCGAGGCGTAGTCGGTCCATCATGCCGATCGGCAAGTACGCGATCAGAGGAAACTCCGCGAAGCTGCGGACGCAGATCTGGCGGTGGCATTACGGTAGGAGGAGGGGAAGTGGCGAACTCCGGTTCGTATTCATCCTCGTCTGGCGTCTCGGCCGACGGACCGGAACGCTCGAGCGACGAGCGACCGCACTCACATTCGTCATGCTCATCGCTTGCATCACCCTCATCGAAGGAGGGCGCACGCGGTCCGTGGACAAAGACGCGACGGCGTTCTTCAGCAGCGGCTTCATCATCCTCGAGACGAATAGAGCGGCGTAAAGGTGGGCGTTCACGACGCGGGCGGCGAGGCTGCGCTTCTACAGTAGCAGCGTGTGGTAGCGGAGGCCGCGAGGCTGGTAATAAGCGATCAAGAGATAGCCCACGGCGAGGTCGTGCCGGCCGCGAACGTGCTCGATCGCGCGGTACCGCTGATGGGCTGGTTTCCTCCGGTGTAGTAGGTAGCGCTGCACCGCGTCCGAACTCGATGAACCAGAGTTCGTCTTTGAGTTCGCACTCTCACTTCTTTTCATTCATGTCTTTATTTAAATAGTGCAGCACGTAATGGAGCACTAGGTCATAGCAGTATTTGTATTCAGTCTGTGGAGTAAAGGTATGAATAAATTTTTATTATATACAAGTTAAACTTATTTATATACCAATGTTTAGTAAATACGCACCATATTTTCAACGAGTTGCGGTCTATGCCGGCGTACAGTTTTCACAGCTTGAAAAACATCGACTTCACCGTGTTGGATCACTTGTTCGATGCACGCATTGGCTGCACAGTATACACCGGCACGACTACGACCATCTCTGTTAAAGTAATATGATATTTATAGATAATTTCATTAAGTGGAATCAAAACGATAACACTTAAATCTTAATGTTGTCGGTATTTTTGAAAACAAAAACATTCCCTCTAAATATAAATAGCAAATTCTAAATTCTAAACTCTATTCAAATATTACAAAATGAATAGAAGTCGGATAGTGTAAATATATCACGATATACGATTCCATAAAATAAAATGATATATAACTCTCCCGATTATAAAGATAAAATATTCTTATAAAGCTATGTATTATCAAATTTCGTTAAAAGAATAATTTAAAAGAAGAAAAAATTGTGTTTATTTATGGCATATTGAGAATCCCAAGACTCACGGTGAAACAACGCAGACTGGTCCATAATCTGTCCGCTGTCGCCATCGCTCCACCATATTCATGAGTTCGACCAGCGAGTTGGTGGACGAAGGGACCTTGTGACCCATAGGCCAGCAGGTCAGTTGGAACAGCTGAACTGTTTTCGGTGGCGCTTTAACGCCCGCCATCAACTCAGTGAGTGAAACGATCTATAAAAAGAGAGTGTAAATTAATATATATATATATATATATATAAATTTATATTTAATTTATATAAAAGAATATATCTTTACATATATTCTTTTTATATAAACTTTCTAGCTGACCCGCCACATTTTGTTTTGCCATATAAACTAACTAAAGAGAACCACCATTTAGGTAAATTTCAAAAAATGATTGTTTCTGTGGAGGGATTTTATACTCATTGGCTTGGTTAAGATTACTGATTCAATAAAAAAAAAAACTAATTTAATGCTAGAAAACTACACTTATATACTTAATGTATGCGACCTATATCTGTCATAAAAATTCCCACGAGAACGGAAGATAACGGGTGACTTTAAGTCGGAAATTGCAATTTCTTGCATTAAGTTTAATGTAGTAGCACAGCATATCTAATAGTATTACTATAATATTCAGTATATTAATACTGGTGGAGTCATATGCAGTTTATTTTAAAATTATGTAATTTAGTGAATCTTGTCGTGAGTATTTTAATACTAAATAAAGTATTTGCCTCACCTATATTTCGACTAAGTCGCAATAGACGTGGTGATGTGATGATTGGGTACACCTTTTATTTAGTACTGCGATACTGCGATATGACGTTGTGCGGGTCAGCTAGTTAGATATACGAGAGCATGTTGATTTAATATAATGTGTACCTTTTTATTGATTCTAAATATCCAGGTCTTGATATTGGTGTAGTGGTTGTGTGACACGTGGTCTATCGTAAACACTGGTCCGTATTTCTTCGAATGCCGACCTTCGGGCCAAAATGGAGGGAATTGTTGCTGCGAAACATATGCGCCAATTAGTTAAGTCTATACGGATACAATTATGTTCCTTAATTAATGATAATGGTATAGTTTATCCGCTTGTGATAACGGTGTATTTTGGTAGGACACCAGTAGAGGGCAATTGTAGCGATGAACATAAAGTCTGGTGAGTTAGCTCATTATAGCTAAATCACCAGAAATTAATCACGGTGATTTCTATAGGGACCTCTCGCAGGTCGCACTAATATGGAACATTGTCAGCAATGGAGACGCTAGCCCCCACTAGTAACGATCCTCTCCCTCCCTGATGGCGATAATGTTATATGGCTCAAGTTTTGTGCAGAACTATATAAATAACATATTCTTTCAGATGGTCCTGTAAAAAATCATGTTAATGGTAGTTATTATTATAAGTTTGCCGAAAGTTACAATGTCGTATGATTTTATAGTCTTTTTATATACATAATTAAAAAAAAAAACCTTCACAACTATTTCTAGAATGTGGTAGTTAGAAACATTATTAACGTTGACATCGTGGGCAATACAACATTTGACATGCCCACTTTTCGCTCGATAGGTATATTTAAATCCAATAATGCAACATGGCAGATGGGCGAGCATACCGCTGTCGCATCGGCAGTTGATTTAATTTGGTATGTCATCGGCGATTTCGGCACAGAAGAGTCAGTTAATAATATAACTTTACACAAAGTTTTTGACGAAATTCGAGGTAGTATACAACTAACGCTCTGAATAATATGTAAAAGGAAAGTAAAATGAATATAGATTTATGTAGACGTTTTTAAATTTCATCTAAATATATATATACCATTGAAGTTTATAGAACTATAGTGTGGACATTTCCGGAATAGCAAAGTTTAACATTTTAAGGAAGTGTACCTATTATTTAGTGTGTGGCATAACACTGTTCACATGTCACTGGCTCAATGCTAATTTGCGAAAGCGATGAATGAATAACTAGATTATATTTTTGTAGGAATTTGATTGATTGATTATTATACGAGTTGATAAAACAAAAGATGCTTACAGAATTTTTCGGCGGTACGCACAGAACCACCACTGCGGCACATTCGTAGTCATACACCAACGACCAGAACTCGCCTTGTGTCATAACCAGAGGCCATTCCGTTACAATGTACTCCCTAGGTTTCGTGTATCCCTGCACAATACAAAAAATGTTATTATTTTACATCTTAACCTGATTATACAATAAATGGTGGACTACATTCTTATACGAATATATTAGAAGCTGAATTTAGTAACCCTTAAAACAGAATTTACTGATTTTATATAAGGTGTTAACAAAGTATCCGTATTTGCTTTAGGTTATTGATTTATTTAAATATGTGTATATTACAATAATAAAGAAATTCTATGTCTTGATATTTTGGTATCGTTGCTAAATTATTTAAAAAGACAAATAATATTTTTTATCTTTTATTCACTTTGCCTTTCTTTATTTAGGTACCAAGGTAGTTTAATAATACCCACAGTATCTACCAAAATATCGGTAACAGCTATTTTTAATGGAAAATTTACTTAAAGTAGAATACATGCTTTATGCATGCTTTACTTCCAATGGTAGCGGGTTCGATTCTTCGCACGATGCAAACATTTATATTCATAGTTAGTCCATTGTTCTATGATATTATTATTATTATAATACCTACATATATACTCATTGTACATGTATTGAATTGAGTTGAAAGGTTTTATTGTCTACTCACGTCCACGAAGACAGCGTTGATGTAATCCGTAAAACTGTTTCCTTGGAACGACGTTAAGTATGGCCGAAAGTTGTCAGCTGAAACAAAAATATGAACGTCATTTATTTTCTGGTTGACTTTGGGATTAAACTCACCGTGATTGTAGCAAATATTTGAAAAATTTCAAAAAGCGAATTCTCAGAGGAACTCTGCCGTATTTAGGTTGGTATTTTCTTAATTGTAGGTATAAAAATATCGTAATTTTGGGAACGATATTAATATTGCATATACGTATAATATTTATTTTTCTTACTTTATTTTATATCTGTATTTATTTTTGGCTTATGAAGGGCTGATGATCGGGCCCAGTAGCAGGCCTTGGGAGAAGCCTATGTCCAGCAATGGATTGCAGAAGATGATTAAGAATGATGATTACCATTTATTTTTATATATCACTACGACAATTTACAATTCTGATAAATATAATAAATTATCGTAGTTACAATCACTGTGAAATTATTCACTCCATTTTAAAGTTACTATATAAAAAGTAAATAGATAGTAGCCGATTTTCAGACCTACTGAATATGTATATAAAATTTCATAAAAATCGAACAAGCCGTTTGGGAGGAGTATTGTAATTAACATTGTGACACGAGAATTTTATATATGAGATTATATTTATATTCTGAAGTGCATAAGATCTATTATATTATAGTAACAATATTCTTACTGGCATGATAAGTGTGATGGTGGTATAATAAGTAGGTAATATAGTCAGTAACAAATATGACTTAACAAAGATTTATACTATTATTTATAGGTCCATACTGATTTAAAAAATATGTACCAGTTGAATGTCTTGCCAGTTCTTTTCAGCCGAAGTATTCATATGTAGCTGAATGAACTACTATAGATGGCAGAGATACTAACAATAAATTTTGCAGTAGGTACGTAAGTAGCAAAATGATGTCTATTATGAATCATCAGAGCTCAAACAAGCGTACAAATTTCATAATAAAAAAACGTTACTTTGATTTTATATGAAATCTGTTTTCTCTAATTAAATATGTTTGTATCGATCTGGGTATTTACTCTGTATATTATGAATACTACTTAGCTTATGATTAGTTTTATTATGCTTATGATTAGTTGACATTGTGTTAATTGTTCTGAGATACTATTATTATGTACTGAGTTTGTCATGTCACAAAATGATTTATTGTATTAAGAAGTGAACTCACAGTACGCAAGTCAAACCAACCGCTCGGCTGAGTCTACCTTCTAGTACGCGTGTCTTTGATTAATTATCTGCTCATGCAGGTAAAGTGATTAAAGGCAAACATACTACTATACTGATATATGTAGTTTATAAGTAGTGTTATGCTACCAGCTTTAATAGTCTTGAACTATAAACTTTAGATAGCTGAGTGGTAACACTGTCTAACTAGTGACGTTGTCGAACGTATAAGTTTAGAATATACCAAATATTATAAGCTATATATAGTTTAAGCTAGATAGGTTCGATATTTGCACTGGGATCCTGACGAAGCAATTCATTCACTGAACATTTATCTAACAACTTCGTAACTCCAAGCAGAGCCCATGAATACTATGAGTATAAGCTCTACTCTGCTCGCTTTACTTGCAATAGTTGCGGGTTTGATTTCTCGCAAGGTGAAAACATTTGTATTTATGAGTAATACTGTTTGTATCGGTCTGGGTGTTTTCTATGTATATTATGTATGTATTTACAAAAAAAATACTGTGTCTTTATATCAGTTGTTTAATACCCATAACACAAGCTTTCCTTACCGTGGGACTAGATAGCGCTGTGTTATTGTCCAAAGTTATTTATTTACTAGTACTTTTATAGAACTTATAGTTTCTTTGTATAAAAGTACATAGAAAATACAATATTAGGTAATTATTAGTAATGGAAACTAATAAACCAATTGTAATAATAGCTAATACTAGTAATGCAACATATTAGGTTGATCTCCACACAGTCTCCTTTGTAAACCATTGTGATAAACTTGTTAGTTGTGCATTTGCCTTGACCGACTATCTGACGTCAGAGCAGGCAGGTGCATCATTTTTTTATCATCCATTAAAAATACAATATTTGTAGAACAGCAACAGGTTATTATCAGAAATTTGTTACACAGCGTTACCACCAAAACACCTGTTGCTTCTTGGTCGTACATGGATATTTTGTTGGAAACACTTGTTGTGAAATCATATTTTAAACATATGTACATATTTCACTTCACATTACTGATTTATTTACGACCTTGGTGGCTTAGTGGTTTAGCACACCGCTTTACGTCCGATGGTCGCGGGTTCGATTCCTCGCACGGCACTAACATTTGTATTCATGAGTATGATTGTATGTGTCGGTCTGGGTGTTCTTCTATGTATAAAATGTATGTATTTACGAAAAAAAAATCTATGTATTTGTATTAGTTGTCTAGTACCCATAACACAAGCTTTTAGCTAGCTTAACTTGGGTCTATATGGCGCTGTGTGAATTGTCTTGAGATTATTATTATTATTATTATTTTGTTGCTCAAGTTTATAAATTTAATACTTTACTCTTGTAAATCAGTGCTGTCTGGTATACAGAATCTTAGTAATATAAAGTTGAATATGTGTATTTAAAAGAATAATAGGCAAGTTACTTGCTCTTTTTTCTAGGTTGTATTTGTAGAAATATATAAAAAAAATAGTACCGTCCAATTCAGTATACAGATTAAATTGAGAAGAACTGGCAAGAAATTCAACAATTTTTTAAAAATTTACATTGTTCACTTATCTCACATTAAATGATAATCTCGTGCTAGAACAACTATTGCTATAATTATTTATTTAATCGTTTTAAATACCTATATTTCAAACAAAATAATGTTAGTGGTAGCATATAATTATTGAAACTTACGGGGTACAACAAGCACGTCTCTGTTCTTCTCCCTGTTATCTCCCCTGTGACCCCCAGCACAGTCTCCTATAGTAAATCTTGGCGTCTGTTTGCATATTTGCTGGTATTCCTTTTGATACTCGTTCAGCTTAGACACTGGGTCTCTTTGGGACTTCTGTTTTAATCTTTGCGATAGTTCCGACACTGGGAACCATGACACCCCGCACACGACGTGCTCTTCTAATGTGTCGTACACAAATTTATATTGTTCCTGTATAAATAAATATACTAATTAATAGAAATTTTTAATTTTGAGACAATTGACAAAAACAAACATTAATAGGATTCAAAATTAATATAAATTACAGCTACTAGGTAGATGGTATATATTCCATATATGATTTCAACTATCAACTTATTTCCGAGTAAAAACTATATAATAAAAATACAATATATAAGTAGAATTCAAAACTACAAAACATAAACAACATAAAAAAAGTATGTAGAAATTGTGTTGTAATTGGTTAAGCCACAGATAATATATTACATGTTAAGCTAAGCTTCGGATTGAATTTTTTGGTATAAAATCCTAATATTTATGAGAGTATATGTTTAATATACGGTTAATTGGTAAAGAATGCAATTAGGCATGAAGTCCACTATATATACGATTAATATCTGTATGCAGAAGAATAAATAAAACAATATAGGTATATCAAAATATATAAAAACTAAATAAATGTAATAAAAAAAATGGTATACCAACCTCATTCTCAATAAGGCCTTTTCTAGATTGTCTCAATTTTTTCAAATACCCGAAAACATCGAAGCAGTCTTCTTCTTCAGCCAACTCCAGATTTGCATCAATTGCCAAATACACTCCCGATCGACCTCCACCGTCACTAAGATTTATTATATTAAATTTAAGATAAGATAAATAACATTTAATATTGAAGCTCCACTATAAGGGTTAAAGGGAATGGTTAACACATACCAAAAAGTGAGCCGTAATTTTCTATTTCATTTATATAATAAGTACTGTACAGTACAGTTCAGTATAGTGTATGTACATTAAATGAAGATGTAGAATAATTACGAATGATTATTTGTTTTTATCAAAATATATCTTGCTCGTTCTTCTTGTGATGAAACAGCTTTCTGAACGAACGGTAGATAAAAAAATTATTATGACTACTCAAAAGTTAAACTAAGTTAATTTGAATAAATGATTTTCTATTCTATTCTATTCTATATCCAAAAATTGGATTATTTAGCTTAATTAATTAGTTTGCTTATTTAGCTTAATTAATTACTAATTTAGCTTAATATTTACACAAGAAACATTAAATAATATCAGTCATTGTAAATGTAACAAATACACAGTTTGTATAAATAATAAACTTGCATGCATGTATATATATATATCTATGTCATCAAATGTGTTAACAAAATTTAAAATAAAATTAATGCCACGATGTTATGTAAAACTTGGTAAAATATATCTTTATCTCTCTATTTGGAATGAATTATGAATGAATGAATTATTTATTTACAGACAAACATGGTAAAGTGTTTGTTGCATTGTAAATAGCACAATCGTGATGCACCAGAATTTGGAATGCAAAAACTTTATAAAATAAGTAATATATAGATATATGAAAATAATAGTAAATAAAGTAAATGAAAGAAGGGCTTTTTAACAATATATACTTACTTGCAATGGACTACCATAGGTCCAGCTGCTGGATTAGCGGCCAACCTACGGCCCACCACTGCGCGGACACGTCTTCTGAACTCCAGGAGTGCATTGCTGAATGGACACGTATGCGAATGCCATTGTGTGTAATGGAACTGAAGTATAAACCGTTCTTCTATTACCACCTATAAGAATAAAGCAGTTATTAACATTACACGCGTAGGAGGTTTCATGTCTGCTTTAAAATATTTATTATTATATCTGATACATAATAATAAATATTTTCTTACATCTTTTATATCCATATTATTTTTTATCGATAATGTTTTATATACATTAAGACTAGAAATAAAGCATGTGGCCTGCTTGATGGTAAGTGTGTTGCTGACCTTTGTGCCATAACTTCTATACCTTCTTACTATTAATATTACAATACAAATATTTTGCTTGAGTTTAACTATATAATATTTACATAAAAATATACCCATATATACCCCTCTACAAACAAGATGCCGATATATGATTTACCAAGTGTGATTTAGACTTAAATTACATTATTATTAACATATTTCGTAATAAATATTATATTCACATTGGGCGCCAAACGGCAGAGATAATTAGGTAAACACTTACATTCTTTTCAGTCTTGTACAGCCTGAATGTCCGTATGTGAAAATTAGCAAGCTCCTCCTCTTGAACTATTCCAACGCTTATGTCGCCATATGTTTCATCTTTTTCCTTATTTGGTGGCCAATATTGGACACACATAACCTGGTAACAAAGGGGGAAAAATAAGTTTAGTATACCAGTTCGTAACACAACTCCAGTTCATAACTAACAATATATGCATCATGAGTAATGACCTCAATGGACACTGAAAATTGTGTTTAGTCAATTTTCAGTATTCAGTGAGGCCCAATGGCGAAAATAGGCCATAGCTTAACAACAATCTGTAAATTTCGCCAAGCAGAAGAAGAAACGCCACTATACATCCTATGTACTTATTGCTTGTGGCGTATTAGTTTTAAGCGTGAAACCTGACATATGTATCATATTCTAGACTAATAATTCTATAAGAATAGATGCTTCGTAACCTAATTTATGCGGGAAAAGCTGGGTTACTGCTACTTCTATATTTAGTTCTTTGTAGTACTTTGTTATTTGTTATGTATATTATGTATGTGTCTAGTACCCTTAACTCAATTTCTGGTTAACTTTGAACTGATGCTGTGTGAATTGTTTGAGTCACATCTCAAATTACTAAAAACGTGAATACTCGATCAACGACAGAGAATATTTGTCTTGCAAGACACTGATTTCGAATTATCTTTATTACTATATTATTATAAGAATATTTTTTTTAAAGAGGTATATTTTCCTTATCATTGGATTTCATTCTAGGTCTGGGCATGTAGGGTTTTACAATTTAAAGAAAACGCGATGCCATCGCGCGCTGGCGGCAAACAGAGCGAAAAATATTTTGCAAATTTTCTCTGCACGCTCCACTGAACGCTAAAGGTGGGATCAGTAGCCTTCATCACTTGAAGCCGCAACAATAGTATAAAGGTTTTGGGAGTTTAACCGAAATTGGCTTTTTATTCACCAGACAGAATTTCAATACACGCTTCATGTGGATTTTCATGACACTATTATGTGACTTGTTCGATAAAATATCATTCATATTTGTTTATTTTTAACTTTTAAACAATACAATTTTATTTTTATTATTAGACATTATTGGCTGTGGGATATCATACAAGGGCAAATACAGTGATATAATTTTTTTTATAGTATATTTTTAAATTATTATTCTGTCATGTATTATTTAAGTAAAAAAATATGCTCAATATAAGAATTTAAAAGGAATCTAATCAGCCTATCTATTACTATATTCATCTTTTTTATTTACCTGTTGTACTGTATACGTTAACACATCTACATATATACACACATACTACTCCACATATAAGTTAGAATGAGATACCAAGATCCGTCTTTTCATTTTTATGTGTTCTGTAGCTAATTTGATATTCATGTGAATATGCGATTTTATACACATATACAACTCAACCTTTGGTCTCAAAAGCATTAAATTGTAAACATCTTAAACGGATTCAAAGAGTAGACGCCGCTCTGTTATTTACATTCCGTTTTATTTGCCTTTACTCGTATTCTATAGGTACATGAAAATATACAAATATGGATTAAAACTCCTACTTAAGGATATTTTCAATATTATACAGATACACTTATTTATTCAGTTTTTTTTAATTAGAGTTTATGGTTATTAGTGGTTGTTATAAGGAAGAATTTAGTTTACTAAATGTATTTTGTAGTACTGGGTCGGATGATCACCAACTATAGCCTAATCGCTATTTGATTAATTAAAAATATATGTATTCAAACAAAAATGCATTGTAGAAATTTTAATACACCCATAATCACACATAAAAAATTTATGACAAATATATTTAAAATACATAACATATATCTAAAATATCTAGTATAAATCTTAATAGACTTGCATTCTGCTTAAGCACACACTCTTTTGATTGCAAAATGTAATAAATTAGATTCGCCGTATATTTTACTTATTATCTTTATTTGCCCCGGGCTGTAAATTTTGGTACTTATCCATCTCAAAGTTCTCAGCTGACGCTAACACAAATTGGCCACTGTCAGTTTGTATTAACACCGTAAGTATACCGTTTCCTGATGAATTTCTAATAACTGTAATAGCTCATTAAAACTTTAACATCAAACTAAACAGAGCTAACATTAATGAGCTCTTGAATTTCAACAAAACTACGCGAAGGATTTAGTTTATGGTTAATAAATGAGTATTTACTTTTATCCTCAGCTTTATGGTTTCAATTATCGAGAAGATTCGTATCTTTGTGATATACCTCAAAGCCAAATGGTAACGATTTTGGTATTATGAGGAAAGCTGAATACAACTGACTTCTGTGAAATAAATAATGGTTCTCAGTTAGAAATTTGCTTCGCCAGCAGGATCATCAGGTAACAGAGCGAGAACACCTACTACTACACTTTTTCAAAATTTTTCGTTCAGCTACTTTTTACGGTGTATTTGAGATCGATATGTTTTCTTATTAAGTTTATAAAAAAGCTAATCCAATTCTAAATAAAGCCGAGATTCACACCTATCTGGTACATGAATAATATACAGAAAGTTTAACAAAGTAAATTTGCAAGTTTTCTCGATTCGATTAGTGTGGGATTCTTCTTAAAAGGTGTAGGCGTTAAGTTCACTCATAATTTATTTCACAGAAAATAGCGTGAGAAATGGAGACAAACTCGCTGCATAATCGTGATGAAAGAAAATTCCCCTAATGGAATATCTCAATTCCAGTTTCTAATTTTATCTTGCTCTTAATTCATTTAAGTTTATCTACGTGCGTGGTATTGTGCAAGACCGGTTTAATTGGAATGGAATTTAACAATGTTTGTTGGAAATCTGTTTATTATTTTCAGATCTCTTAATCAATCTGGACTCGGATTAGTGTTACTATGAATTATTACAATTGAAAAAGTTTTTCTGTTCTAAATATCTCTCTTTGGTAGGTATATTTTTTACATAATATATTGCGATATCTTTGTTGTCTTTTGTCTAATAATGAAGAGAAAATTCAATGATGGATGGTAACAATACATATATACGGTTTTTTGTCCCCAAAAGGACTATTACAGGTAGATAAGGACAAGAGAAGAAACTTAAAATAAACATCTATAATAATTACTTCATTACAACCACACAAGCCTTTCGAGATACGAACAGCTATTTTCAAAAATTTTATATCGATAATTCAAGTTTCTAAAGTTTGCTTTGGAAATTTTCAACCTGAAGTAACAGTTGACATCTTATGTGGTCGATCAGACTAAACTGTATAGGTTCATTTATTGCAAATATTGTTGTTAAAATAAAATATTTTAAATATATTACTTATATTCCTGTCTTCAAGAAATTAAATATATTTTTCTAAGACGTAGATCAAGTAGAGGCAAAGTGCGTCGATTTCTATAAAAAAAACTAAACGTGTCACTTTCAGACTACTTGCTTTGATGTTAGAAAAGCTATTTACTGAGAGCAAACTCCCTACTCCACTAAAGTACCATCTGTACCTAATGCTGTTTTTATCAACCCTCTAAACATTTTTGAACACCTATTTTATCTAGGAATTTCTTATTGAGTCATTGAGTACTGCAGTGTAAAATTTAGGATTAAATAATAAATATACACATTATATTGAGTTGTGACATATATTTATAAACATTATCTGGAAAATATATTTCTTAAAAGAGCGTTGCTTTATCCCTTTATGTGCATTGACACTACAATGCTCCCGACTTTCTATCTTACACTACAAGTGGGTACTTTTAAAAAGATTTCTTCATGGATGGCGACGGGCACTGTTCATCTTTGATATTACAGACTCTCAAGCTACGGAAATAGCTTTTAATGTGTTTTATGTTACAATGGTGACAATATAATAAGACTCTGACTCTTTTAGTAAATTTCTATATTGTACTTTGTAATAATAACTTCAGATGGCTGTAGATTCATATCAAGCAAGAAATTATTATTAGTTGTTTTTTATGTAATTAAAATAGCCATAATGCGGACGACCTAGCTACGAAAGTAGCGCGGGTGGCCCGTATATACATAAATGGGTGAATACCCATTTATGTATAAAACAAGAATTTGTTTATAGGTTTTTAATTATCTCTGTGGTTGTTCATGATTGTTCATAGAGATTCACATTGTCACACCTTTATGCCCTGATCGTTGCCGTTTCTGAAGATTTAAGGTGTCATGGCCTTATACCCTGTAATATTGTTACCATATCTTACATTATTATACATTTACCGAAACACACACATTTAAATGAGACACATGCAAAGTTTTGTAGGTGGAAATGCCTACAAAATTTTGTACGAAGTGTGGTTACTATTAGAAAATAAGACTATCGTTACCAACCTTGATAAAGTCGAATGTTTTTGTGAGCATAACGATGGCGGCCGCGCGCTCCTGCCATATCATTTTCCAGAAGTACACCACTGTGTCCTCAGTTGGCCCCTGTGTTACTATATACGCGTTTGGTTTTAATACACTCTGTGAACAATTAACATTGAAATTAGTAGGTCATCCTATAAGTATTTATACTTTTTTATGGTAAAGGAAACAAACGAACTTGCGGGTCACCTGACGGTAACTAATTACCGTCGCACATGAGCACCCATAACACCAGGGGAATTGCAAGAGCGTTGCCGACATTTTAAGAAGGAATAAGCTCTTTTCTTGAAGGTTTCCATAACGTATCGGTTCAGCAATATGATATCCAGAAGGTAATTTCACAATGTGGTTGTGCGTGGCAAAATGTTTCTAGTAAAACGCACGGTGGAGAACCGCCATTCATTCGTGCGATAGTGAATTTAATTTAATACTGTCTAACTGAATAACTCTTTTAAAAAAGATAGTGGTGGTTCGTCTTCTTTAGGTCCTTTACATGATGAAAAAACAATTTACATTATACTTTATTGGATCTAAACTAAAATTATGTTTTTTTGGAGCACTATAATATCTAAAGCCACAAAATTCCGTAAAATAATACCGATTTTAAGAAGTAAAACAAATCTGTATTTGCATTGAAAACTTACATGGCTGTATTAACGCATATATGTGGCGTTCTTAATTATAAACTGTTATAATGGTATTTAGTTTATTTCTTTTAGTAAGTGGAATGGCAAATAAGCTGCTAGTCCAACTGATAACAAATGATAACTATCATCTATATATAAACATGACTAGCAGCAGCGTGATATCAGTATCACGTTTTCATGTGACGCTCTTGATACAACTAATGCATTTCCATTCAGGAGGACGTAGATATTACCAACTAAAGTACAATTTTTAAATGTAGTAGAAAAATAGATAAATAATAGAATAAGTAAAAATTCAGGCACTTTCACATCGTATTAAAGAATCACAAACAGAAAATTAGAAGTGGGATCATAAAGACTGTGCCATTTCAGCATAGAGTTAAAAGTATCTGGAGCAGTAAATGAGTTATGAAACTACTTAATTTATATAAAGTAAGAACTAAGAAGTAAATAGACTAGTAGAGTGGGTCTATCCTTACAATTAGAGGTACTATCTCATTATGGACGGTACGTTTCCTAATCATTATGGGTTGTAGATTAAAATAAATTCTTTGTATTATTCAGCAATTTGTAACCTACTGATTTATAATCCTGACTAAAAAAGGTCATTTTTTATTTACATTTTGCATAATTACCTAAGTTGGCTTTTTAGATAATTCCCTGAGTTTAGTGGTCGCGAGATCCAATTTGGGTCACCAAAACTTTGCCCATTAATTTAAATTTCCGATCGACTCTACGGTGAATAATAAATATCGTTTGTGACGCAAATAAATCCGTAGAATGCGAGTACTGAGCGTACACGCATCGTGTACCTGTACGTTAATTATGCTTGGCGGAGTGTGGGTAAATTCATAGTATTCTCGTCTCCATAAGAAATCTTTAAGCATGTGAATTAAGTCTGTCTGTCAATAGATAGACAACAAATATGTTATCTTTACACGACTAATCAACTGAACAGTTAAACCCTTAGTTGTAGTAGTTGCAGAATACAGTGTTACAAGCATATCTTATAATATTGCAACATGAAGATTGATATAGGAAACTTTTTAGCCGCAGCCCCATGGAATAATAGTATATATGTTATGTTGTATTTCAATAGATCTCTTTAATATATATGATAGAAGTCATCTTCCTCGGTACGTTTAGATTAAAATATAGCTGTTGGCGAATGCAATTGGGTAACTGACGAATATTCTAATGGAAATGTAAAAATATCAAATGTGCTTAAAAGCAGTTTGAAGTAAACAAAGAGTACGGTATTAAAAAATAACGAGGCCTAAACTGCTTTAACAGACAAAACAGGCCGAGTTAAATAAACGCCTAACAGCAGGCGTTGTAAACTACATAGTTACAAATGCAGGTAGCATTACGATAACATTTTAGGTCGGTGTATATCGACTTTAAATTAAGACTTATAAATAAACAAAAATAGTATCGTTGTGAAAATTAATGTATCGAGAGGAAAAGTTTTTTTTTATTCTTACATTTATTTAGGGACTTTTATCATAATATGATAATGCCAGCCAATCTTATACTATATATATATATATAAAAAATTTTTGCTGGCGATGCTACAGGATGAGATAGTATACCGTGGTATATACCAACCTCAAGCCGATTTAGTCCAAATTTTTTTAAATACAATTCCCTTTTAACCTCGTCTCGGACACACTCCATTAATATGTGATGCAGATCTTCTATAGTATTGCATGTTTTGCAGTTGGGGGAATTCGATTTATGCGTTAAAGGAAAAGTTTGTATCTAACAAATAGACATTTAAGAACTACTTCTACATATATCGTGGTCATTATGACTAAATTTGCTAATAGTGAAAAAGAAGTTGAGTATTTTGATAAATATAAATAATTCAAGGATAGAATGAAGAATAAAAAATTCAAGTCAACAGTGAAATTATGTTGTGTTTGTAAAAAGTAGGAGTCGTGACTTTGTTAATTTTACCGTGGTAAATTAATTTATGGACATTATTTATTTTTACAATAGTAGTTAATAATAACGAAATTTTTTTTCTGGAAATTTGTATTACAGATTGAATGCACGCTACAATCTTCTCCATCTGAAATACGATGTGTGTGACGAATATAATGAAGATTGGTTGAGTTATATGAGGTAACAAACTAACAATCTCATACAATTATAGGATTAGTAAAGCTTATTAATATTAGATATACCTCTATCTGATATATATCAAAGACAATACTTCATTATAGAGTTGAAATTAATAATCCTAAGAGGATTAATAATTTAATTTGACAATTCAACTCTCATAATATAAATTAATGATGTTTACGTTACGGAACCAGTTATTATATAATCTTAGTAATTATTGTCTTTGTTCTCATTATGTAGGTAGTATTTTTATATAGGTATCAGGTAGGGCTTCACCTTGATTGCCTACCTAATCCAATAACTTAATACTTAGGTATCTTTAAGACTGTAATTTCAGATGGGATAACTCTGAGTGAGTTACTATCAACTGTCGTGGTGTCACTCTAAATTCAATGTAAGTATAATTACCAAATGCAGATATTTATTTATACCTGCATTTGGTGATTATACTTACATTGAATTTAGAGTGACAGGGGGCAGCTTACTATCACCTTTTGGATTTTTTATTAAGTCAATGTTTATGTATATTTTTTTATTGGGGGGTTTGGGCTACTCTCAGATGCTTGGATCTGTAGCACTGTCACCTATATAGATCTATTTAGGACGTCCTTTTTCAGAGTTCGCTACCTAGTATCCGTCAGGGACAAGGATTGAAGGATATTCTTAGGATTGGTTTTTATCTCCTCAGGATAAAGTGTGAACTTTCCAAAGGAGATATTTCGTTTAAGCATGAGTGGGTTACAACGACATAAGATGTGTAGTGGCGTTACTTCTTCAGCTTGCAGATTTTTGTTGTGCATAGGCCTATGTAATATTTATATACGAGAATATATAAATGTCAAAATCGAACTGAATCGAATAAGTTAATCGAGAATAGCTATTATGCATTTGGATTGCGTCCAATTTGAGATTCAATGCACCATCAATAATAGGATTAATGGGTTTAGCAATCGCAATAAGGTTCGCTATATTTATTATATGTATTTGGAATGAGAATAAACATAGGCCGATAGTCAGTAATAATTGTCTAATTATTTTGTTTAATTGGAACGGCAACCAATCTGACAGATCACCTGATAGTAAATGGCAAACGTCGTCTATATTAACAACAACACGTCGTCATATACCCTCATGGACCCTCATGCATTACTATTCCAGAGAATCACGAAATTATCCCTTTGTACACTGTAATTTTACTATATCTCATTCATCAACTGAATCATAAATTACAAAGCGTGCTGCTTGTCGGCTGAGGTTAGTTAGAAGTACCTATGCAGATGACTTTGTACAAAACCTACCTCGGTAAGAAATTACAGCAGAGTCAAACAGTACCTATATTCCGGCCTTGCGGAAGAAATAGTTAATATGATTATTTATCTTTTTTTTTGTCTGATAAGAAAAGTTTAACAATAGGCTTATTCAGACTTAGTCGTTAAACCAATTCGCTTCTAGTCTCAATGACTTCACAATAACAACACAATACCGGAATGTACTCAGTCAATTTATATTTTACTGAAATGACAAGGGTCAAAGATCCAAGGCGACTTTACTACGAGCGCAAGTCATGCCGGAACCCTTTGAGAAAGGACCCAATTACAAGCAAACGAGGTCGATTCTTCGCAGGGCCACTGCCCAGTAAGTGTAAAAGTAAAGCAAAAGCAGTGTAGATAATTATAGAGCCTTTGATATTTTTAGACCGAGGCAGTATTTTTATACAAAGTTGTTTGTGTAACTCAATCTAATCAATTTCTGTCGTCAACCAGCTTGCTCTGCAATCTGTGTTTTAGTTTGAAAGGAGAGACATGGCAGTGAAACTACTAATTAATTTAGATATGGAGCCATGACACTGTAATCGCAGACGTGATGTCCCTTTACGGACGACGTTTGCCACTTTGCTAGTAGATGGTTCCGTGTTAGTATATAATCTCATCTTATCTGGGGTGTTAGTAAATAAATGTAAGTAAATGATATGACTATTTTATTATAAAGCTTTGGGTAGCTTAAAACACACATAGCATGAAATAGATATAGAACACTTCATATTCTAGACATAAAAATAATAATGAATAAAATTAATACATTATCCTTATAAAGCAAATAAAATTACGTATTTTATAATGAATTTTACTACATTTATAAAGATATTTGTGTAATTTACAGCAATATTACAGTTACATCGATTTAGCTTTATAGGGTTATAACTGTTACTCCATACTTTACTTGTGAAAAAGGAACAAGAAAGCATCCATTACTTGACTCCGGGACCTTTATTTATTTTCGTAGAGCCAACAATTCGCAAAATCATTACGGGAACGACGCGTGATCTGATTGCAAACTTAAATATATACCCACGAAAGTAGGCACCTCAAGGAAATTTATTTAAGAGATACAACGCCTTTGGAGGTTCATTTCGGATAAAATACGATAAGTGTAAAAAGTTATTTTGCCGTCTAATTTAAAGAAACGCGATGTTATTGGTTTATTTAGCAATAAAACGCAAATAAGGCTCCTTCCAAGTGTAACAATTAGTAATAATTAATTGTAATAGTTTCATTTATTACAAAATATTAGAGCATTGAAAGTTCTATAATTTTTGAAACACTGTACAGACATACATGTATGCACTACGACTAAATATTGGTGTATAGTTAACTGCCTATTTTTAAATCTAGTCCTTCTGATCTATGTTTAAAAAAAGGGTAATACATTATTTTGAAATCATTTCTATAATATATAGCCAAAACAAATTTTAGAATAATCAGTTAGTAATAATAGTAAAGTACTGGTGTCTCGCTTAAATCATTTATAATTAATTATTTGTAATAATTAAAAGTGTATACTTACATCTATATAGGAAGCATTAATATAGTCAGAGTCTGGCTCTCGGTCTACAGTTTCTAGCACCACTCTGTTGTAGTCATCTGAAAAAAAGAAGTAATTGTAATATCCCATTACTTTGTAGAACTACGTACATACTTGTTTATCGTGTCACAATAACATTTTTTTGATACATTTTGAATATATTTCGAGAGTTCAATAACATCAATGTGACAAAGTACTACATTTTGATTATCGTCCGGTGAAGCTGTAAAGGTCAGGCGCGGCCAATAGCATTAGAGTAGTCCAAGTAAAAAAGTCGAGTATGATTTCTATTATTATATCCTGTTGTTTTAAAACTTAGCATTTTTCGATGTTAATTATTTTAGTAAACCTTATTAATATAATAATATTTATTAGTTAATTAGGTCGTAATATATCATTGTACTCCAGTCAGCTTGTGACATGCAGCTAATATAACCTTAGTCGAAACGTTAAGAGAGGTAAATTATGATTAAATTATATCATTCCTCTACTGACCTCTCATGCCCTCATGGAGGAAATTGAGGAGGATACTGTATTCTTACTCCAACAAACTGGTGCTCTAGATAATTATTCAAACTGAAAATTTTAAATGGATGTCTTTATTTAAGCAACATGGAACCTTTTTACACAAACCATTAATAATTTTATTCTGTGCAGTCATTTGTTATTGTCAAATAATTTCCCTTTCGGGTCAGCTGTCCTTAAAAGAGCGGCGACAAAGAAATTTTATTATTATGTCAGCGTGTACCATCTCTTCTGTGTCTCTTTTATTTGGGGTTTTAAGGTTTTAATGTTAAATTAATTGTCATCTTATTAAGTATCTAAGTAAATACCTATTTTCATGGTATTATTTTTTTTGTTATTTCTATACTAATAAATAAAACGGAAGTGTCTGATTTAATTTCAAATTATCAGCTTTCTACTAAATACCTATGAGAGTATTTAAATTTTTTGGTCTGTCTGTCTAGAATATAGACTATAGATAGTTAATGTCGTAAAGAGTACCTTAGACTACTTATATTTTAGAAATTTTATTTACGGTACTATAAAAAAGCAAGTTTCACGCGGATGTAATAGTGGGTAATATTTTGAATTTAATATTACGACATTATATTCAAAATTTCATTTTTAATCGTATAGTTTAATTGATGGTCGATTACGATGTGTTTTGGATCAGTGTGTCAGTTCGTTTATATAGAGGTATATGTACTAGCTTTCACATATACTTATGGATGGGCTGATGAAGTGGAAGAAATTAGATGCTGAAATTATAAATTTCACTACTAAACAAACCGATTTTATTGAAAAATTGTAGATTGTAATACGAGGACGCATATAGGCTATATGGCTATATATCATATTTTCCCAAAAAAAGCAGACAAACTTGCGGATAATACTAGTAATAAAAGAACAATCGGTTAGGTATTAATTAAATTACGATTTATTCTAATTTATAAAGGCTGCACATAAAAACATAAATATTCATTTTATTCAAATTGTAACAACACTTAATCTAACAAGTTCTGTGCTTCGTCTAAATCGTACTTCATTATTTAAGTTCACTAACAAACAAATTAATTAAAGCAACATGCCGTTACTTCGAGGTTCCTAAAACAGCTGTTGTTAATAACAACTGTTTTGTAATGAAAGTAAGTGGAACGTAACACGAAGGAATTTACAGGACTCAGTACAGTGAGGACAAATAAAGTTTCTTTTGCGACTTAGAATGGCCAACGAGTTGACAGGTTACAAGATGAAAAATAAACTGCGTCCTGTCCTGTCCTGTTTAATTTAACTACACATTTACTTTGCCTGTTTTTTTTAAGGTTGATAATAGAATGTAGCCTGCGCTAATGGATCATGCCGGCGGGACACTACTGGAGGATGATAAATTGAGCATGAAGTCAGGTTAGTTAAATAAAAAAATTATAGGAATTTTGGCATGATGGTTTCCAGATGAAACTGCATGGAGGTCAACCTGATGTGGTACAGGCAATGGCCTGTAATGAGGTTATTAGTCCACGTTACTATCAATCCGCTTCCCCAGCCCCTTTTTATGTATGTATGTGTGTAATAATAACAATTACAATAACTATCTGTGCTTTATAAATAAAATATAAATATTGTATCCAAAATTGTAGCTTTCGTGTATAGCGTTCTAAATGTGAAAGAATTAAAAAAAATGGTGAAGTATATTTTGCGTTAATCCATCTATGTTATTACTGCATTAATTCTGAGTATGTAATAAGAGGTGGCTATGGGAAGAAATTACAGCGTTACCAGAGAAATATCATATCCTTTGCCTTAAATCAAGGTCCAGGACCACTCCTGGGCACAAATGACTTCTCAGAAGAAAAACGTTCGTTGTCTAATATAAAGTTTTTGTTTCATTATCATCTTAGCCTCTTACGATAACAATTCGTTATTACTATGACAGTGATGACGATGACCTTCAAAAATGTAATTTTAATGCTGCCACAGCCGCTTGGTAGAAATATGGCTGGGCGTATACATACAGTCCAACAACTGTTTTTATTTCCTTTCTCTATCAATATTGTATTGTTATTGTGAGTGTACAGACAATTTTATTTCAGATTACGATCGTGGTAGACTGTATCGTATGCCTACGATGCCTACGACCAAATTTATAGATATAATAATCAATAATTTGAATACAAATTTTGAATTTATTTTATACAAAAAGCTGGTAAAATTATTCATATTTCGTACTATATTTGACAATAATGTAATTTCATTGTTAATACGAGATAGCCGGAATTCAATGAATTAGTGGCATACCTCACCAGGTATGCAACTGGATTTTATCTGTATTAAATGAAATTTCGAATATCATTCATTATTTTGAATACTAAACATTATTATTAAATTTTAAACTTAATATAATACGATAATAATCACACTTTATTTGAAATAACATTACGTAAATTGAAATGTCAAAAATATTGAGTTCCAATAAATGAACATTTATATAAACTTTGTTGAGAATAAATCTTGTAGTAAGTTACGTAGCTGCTACGATGTCTGTGGAAAAGTACTATAGCTTTGCACTGCTCTCGTAGCATTCGTTTAGGATCTGAATGTACTACTGTTTTCATCTTTTATGTCGAGGTTAACATCGTTTTAGGAAAATAATAAAGATATTCGTATAACCAACGAAAATACATATGAATTAAATACATTCGTTAATGAAAAAACTGGGTGTCTAGTAAATATAATTTGTACACTATGGTATCATTATACCAATGTAGGTATATTATAGTATCATAATTTCAACAAGTCTATCTATCTATCTATGTAGAAGATAAATATTGACGGCCTCGGTGGTCTAGCGGTTTAGCATACCCTACTTCCGATGGTCACGGGTTCTATTCCTCGCACGGTACGAACATTTGTAGGTATTTGTCCTGAGATATTACATATGTCGTAAATAAGAACACAGTACAAATATACAGTAATCATAATAATAGTGTAATAAATACTTACAAGGTATAACTTTTTGGTTTTGGTTCTTGAGTAAATTCGTCTTCCTAGTGCCGTGCCGGCACGAGTGTACTTCTACTTTCACCGCCGTCTGCAACACAGAATAATATCTTTAATATTTAATCATTATCATTATTATCATCATCATTATTACATAGTATTAAACAAAGTCGCTGTCGCTGTCTGTCCCTATGTATGCATAAATCTTTAATACTACGCAACGGATTTTGAAGCGGTTTTTTAATAGATAGAGCGATTCAAGAGGAAGGTTTAATATATAATACATGTAAACCTGTGCGAAGCCGGGGCAAGTAGCTAGTTACACTATAAAGTACCGTCCTGAGCCACTAGCCTAAATTAAGTCTGGTATATTTTATTTAATTGTCACTCTGACCTGTAGTTCATTCAGGTCTGTTTAGGACTCAGTATTCGAAAATATTTTTGTTAATTAGTCAGTCACTTGAGTTATGTGGTCATCTCACAGTCTCATCAGAGTCATTACTTTCGTTTTAACAAACTATAGTTTTAAATTAACGATATCCTCAGCGTCTCCGTATCCTGACAATGACGATTAACTTAAATATTACGGGCTGTCCATATTAACCATAGATAAAGAGCTAAAAATAAGGAGTTCACAAAAACTACTCGATATTCCGTACGCTTATCACGTAATATATTACATTGAACACCGTTGTTTTACAAAAAAGGCTGTAAAAAATGTGGGTTAGAGATTGTAAAAGCATTTGAATATAAGAGTTTCGGTGGTATAAATTTGTATGGCTACATTTTATTGGTGAGAATTGTCGCGCGTCTGCAAAATTGAGATAGGTCGCCAGTTATCTCGTGGGGCCCATAAAAACACACCCAAAGGTGTTTTATCTGTCATCCGACCAACACAGCAATTGCTTGCTGATAGGTACCCTCTGTGGGTGACTATAAAGTTATATGAGGTTATTGCTGATACGACCCCATTGTTAACATTTCTTTTCAAATTATGTAATCTTCTCGAAATGAGTGTTTAGGTACTTTATTTATAGATAGGCGGATTGTAAATTATTTGTTTGTGTTATAAAAGAAATGCTTACTTATTTTACTGTATATTTGAAAGTTTAAAATATTAATAGAAAATAGATTAGCTCAAATTGTTACAAGAGTTATAGAGCCTGACGGCCTCGGTGATCAAGCGGATCTACACACCACCTTACTTCCGATGGCGGAATCGATTCCTCGCACGGCACAAACATTTGTATTCATGATTCACTTATGATTATTTGTGTCCATCTAGGTGTTTTCTATGTATGTATCGTATATTATGTATTTACGAAAAGAAAAATATCTATGTATTTGTATCAGTTATCTAGTACCCATAACACAAGCTAACTTAACAACTTTTTTTACACAGTGCCATCTAAACGGTGCGATGGCGCTATGTAAAAAAAGTCGTCCTTAGATTATTATTGTCATAAAACATCACAGCATAAAAATTTGCAGCTAATAAGTCAACGCTCACTAAATATGGGTAGGTACGTCCTCACCACTGTTTTTTAAAACGCTACTATATATAATATATTTTTTTTAATTCCACTGATATTTTTAAAACTACATCAAATACACCAAGAACAAAATATTAATGAATATTACTGGATATTACATATCGCGTAATATTCACCTTCATTTGGTGAAGTACGAGTAAGGATAAATTAGATCTGTATCAGAAACTACTTTAATACTCACGTATTAAAATAGTAGTTTCAGAGTTACCTTGTGTGTAATACGTGAGCGATTATCTATTAGGAATATATGATAATGGCTTCTGTAAACAACTATTAACTTCTCATTATATATTATTACATATATATAGTATATACATTGCAGAACATTCCAGAAAAATAACATAACTGTAAAACTTCAAAAAATCAATCATAACATTAATACTAGATTTAAAGAGAAATTTGCTGTTCCTAAGTATCGTTTAGAAAAAGTATCTTTTTTTTATGGAAATGGGTATAAAAATGTACAATACCAAAGTATATACTGGAATTACCTTTAAATAAATTCAAAATATCAGTTAAACCACAGATAACATAATATTACATAGTTAAACCATAATCATCATCATTACATAGTATAAGTCTGTCCGTCCCTATGCATGCTTAAATCTTTAAAACTAATTAACGGATTTTGAAGTGGATTTTATAACAGATAGATAGATTCAAGAGGAAGGTTTATATGTATAATACATGTACCCGTGTGAAGCCGTGGTGGGTGGCTAGTTACTAACTAAACGATTACTTGAATGACGAGCGAGCATGGCAATAGTTGTTCATGCCCGGGATTTTCATTCAACGTTAGGCATACACACCTACATAAGTACACTATATAAATAAACTGTCTTTAAAAAAAACAGTAGTGTTTCTTGATAGTTCTTGTGAATTGAATTTGGATAAAAAATATAATACAAAGAAATTTACGTTCGTAAGCGACTAAAATGTCCTACATGAAGAAATAATTTTTGATCTAATCAATCAATAAATAAAAAGAATATTCAGAAATTAAAAAATGTTTAGAAAAACGTACATCATTTATTGTTTTCAAAACTATTAGTTAGGAAACAAGTTAATCTTAAAGCTAATCCCGTCTGAGCCAAAGCTTTTCATTTAAGTAGGTCGTGTCAGTTGGGACTTTTACTCTATAAGGAAAATAATCTTCAGCTGAAGATATAGACTATTACGTTATTGTATACTTTATTATATACACAGATGTATCAGAAGGGTTTTGTACAAACTTGGTAATAAGAAAACCTTTTATATATATAGTTACTTTATAATATACATGCATTATAAGGTAACTATATATATAAAAGGTTTTCCAGATTATTACAAGATTGTTGTTTCTACGTCATGACTTCTTATTAATAAATATATACATATAAAAATAATGTAACCGATAACTGTCTGTACATGAATGACATATGAAAAGAATTGTTATTGGAGACCTTTACTAACGCAATAGAACAAAAAACATAAATGCTAGAGATATACATATAAACAGACAGGAAGCTTGTTTATCTGTGCACGTTATTCTACAGAGATTCAAATTTCCGCGATTTCCTTAACCTAATTTGGATGCGGTTTTCACTAATGTATTATGGTTAACTTCACTTAGACCCTTGTGTTTACTTTATTATCAATGACTTAAAAAACAAAAAGTTATAAAGATACAAAGTCATCGGCTCGATTTGTACTTGAATATATCATGATAGTCTCTTGGTATGATTAAAATATGAGAAATTATTATAATAGGTACTTAATACTTTTTTATGTAATTAGAATGTTTGTCATTACTAACAGCTCACCTCATGATAAACATTAACCGTTGGTTAGATATTACATATAAACAGCACTACGGAATCATGTTATCATGTGACACCCGTGACAACTCATGCTTTGCGATTCCAGAAGAGTTAAGGTGTTTCATATTCTGTAATTTCACTGTTTAATCTGCACCCTACAACTTAAAACCAGGTTACGAATGAAGCTGCTTGGTGACGTTGAAGACATTTCAGTCTGCCTATAGTATAAATAAAATTATCAATGTCTATGTACCTTAGATATTTGTCGAAAAAACTTTATGGATTTTATATTACAAATAAACTGTATAAAATAAGAGAGAATTATTTCTATAGATTTTAACTTTTGTATTGCTTTATAATCTTGATGAAATTTTCCAAGTTTATACAACCTTCCCTCAGTACCAGTTCGAGGATGTTCTAAGGAAGACTTTACGAAGTTTGTTATTGTTTTACTTCAAAATCTTTATAAATATTTATTATTATTATGAAAAAAAGATTCTCGACAGTTCATATTATCAATAGAAATATCTCTTTGCCTACCAGGAACTTTATGTAGGTCATGATTTCATTTCATATATTGTACATCTAGTTTGTTTTGTTTGTTTGTATAGCTGTCTCGTGCAGACATATTATTATTTGTTTAATTTTAAACTGAGATCAAAGGAAAAATTTGGCCCTATCTGAAATGGATTCAATATATTTTAGTTTGGATGTCGATTGCAAAAAATTGTGGTATTTTCCGAGATAGAATGATTTATATTTTTATTTATACTAGATTTTATGACTTCGTTTTGTAGGTTAGGTTAGAAGAATATAAAAATCCGATTTAAAATAATATTTAGATAAAATGAATAGTCTTAATATATAATAATATAATTTACGATTCAAATGAAAGGTTTGACTATAGCTGTATAGATTAACACATAAGCTACTTTTTACTCCAATTCAAGCGAGCAGTTAATATGTGGGAAGGTTATCAGATTGTAAAGTTTTTTTCTCTTTATTTATTTAGGATCACAATAGTGAGTATGTTAGCTTCATCAAGAGTGTAAAATTCTTTTCCTTTAAAAGAATGAGCCCATCAGGCATCTTTATATACAAAATGTATATCTTTGCAATGGTTATGTTTATGCCTACTACATTGGAGATAGTCTCAAATAAACAAACTTACATGTAAGAATAACCTATTCATTCATACCTATTCGTATATTCGCTACGTAGACTTTTATGTTACATTATACAGAGAATTCGAAATTCGTATCGTAAACAATATATTTTTTTAAAATTTAGCTTACTATGTCTTATATATACATAAGTGAAAGAAATCATATAATCGTTAATATGTTCTAAGCATTTTTACATTGTGTACAAAATATGTATCATATTTAAAAAAAAAATATCAATCTATTTTTTCATAAATAATTCAACGAAAGAAAAACTTTTACCAATCGATATCATTCCTGCTACATAATATAAGTAGAGAACAAAAGGCTTTAGACGCTGTCGCTGAGAATGTATACGATGGCGACGTATAATATTTCGATACCTCAGCTATTTTGTAGAAGTATCAGTATTGTAGCCGCTCAGTGGAAATTGCTTGAAATAGCAAACTCGATGAAGTTTTATACTTTGCTGATATTATGTATAGGTAGTTGATATATTATTTATATTATGAGAATACTTTTGTTTATTCTGTAACTAGCTAGCCGCTACGGCTTCGCATGGGTGTACATGTATTA